ACTATGCATTTACCTCTTTATTCTCATATCAGAATATGCATACGCACACGACTGTAGTAGTAGGCAGAAAATAAAAATTGGAAACATGCTTTCTCTTTCTTTCAAAATTTGATTGATGAAGCGAGGTAGGATTACGAAGTGCAAATGGTTTGTCCCATTTAATTTATTTCTTCATGTTGATAAATATTGTGCTAACGAAAGTTAAGTTACGATATGTATGTTATGGCAATCCGGCACCCAAGATATGATATTTATTGAGCTCTTACCGATTTTTAAAGATATGATACGACAGTATTATATTTTTCACGCATGATTTAAGATTTTTATTCGGGATTGCACAAAATATTCGTGTCCTATTGAGTATTCTCATATTCTCACATTTTTCGTAATCATTGTGCTTGGATTCATTGGAATTAATAAATTAAATTCGGTGTAACGTGACTATAGATTTTATTTTCAGTTTTAGTTTTATTATTATGTGATTATTTGGTTATGTTTTTTTTCCATATGTTTATTTAATATTGGTGGAACCAAAAAAAAAAAAATCATGTTATAATGTTTAAAATATATATTTAATTACAAAATTAATAAGATATGGCATAGAAAAGTCCTTGATTTTTTAGAATATGGAATTATTCAATATAACATTGAGTAAACTAATGTTACATAATTTTATATTTATTGCATGCCATTGTTTTTAAGAATGAATGAAACTTTTAGTAAAGATTTAAATATTAAATATTTGGGTCATTATAGTCCTTGCAGCGATTTGACGTAAAAAATGCATTCTTGCATGATGATTTGGAGGAAAAAGTTTATACGGAGGCACTTCCTAACTGTACTACGGATTTTGGAGTTAATAGTGTATACAGGCTAAAGAAAGCTTTATATGGATTGAAGCAGTCTTCGAGAGCATGGTTTGAAAGATTTACCAGTGCAATGAAACAAATGGGGTTCAAACAATCACAAGGCGATCATACACTCTTCATAAAAAAATCAAGAAGCGGTAAAATCACTGTCCTAATTGTTCATATTGATGCTATTGTAACAGGGGATGATCTTGAAGAAATTGAGAAGTTTAGAAAGCAACTGGCAAAAGAATTTTAAATAAAAGAATTGGGAAAGTTGTAATACTTCTCGGGGATTGAAGTGGCATACTTGAAAAATGGCATATTCATTTCCTAACAAAAATGCATTCTTGATCTACTGTAGGAGACATGAATGCTAGGTTGTAAGCCTTCTAAAATTCTCATTGAATAAAATCACAAGCTAGGAGAAGCTACAGAGGACACAATGGTAGACAAGGGGAGATATCAAAGATTAGTACTCATTTATTTGTCTCATACTAGGCCAAATATTTCTTATATTGTAAGTGTGGTAAGTCGGTTCATGCATTCTCCAAGGGAATGTCACTTAGAAGTTGTTCATCAAATCTTACAATATTTGAAGTCTACACAAGGAAAAGGTGTTCTCTTCGAACATAACCAAGAGTTGAGTATAGAAGCATACACGGATGCGGATTGGACAAGTTCAATAGTTGATCGCTTCTTAGGAGGAAATCTGGTTACATAGAGAAGTAAGAAATAGGTTGTGATAGTCAGATCAAGTGCTGAGATAGAATTTAGAGCTATGACACATGGAATTTGTGAGCTTTTATGGCTCAAAATTATCATAGAAGACTTGGGTATCAAGTGGGAAGGAGGTATGAAGTTATACCGTGATAAAAAGTATGCAATTTATATAGCTCACAGTCTGGTACAGCATGATCATACTAAACACGTAGATGTGGATCGACATTTTATCAAAGAAAAACTAGATTGTGGTCTAATCAGTACTCCCTATGTCCCAATGGATGGAAAACTTGCAGACATTCTTACCAAGGGACTACCAAGCCACTCATTCCAACGAATTACAAACAAGCTGGGCATGGACAATATTTGTTCGCCAGCTTGAGGGGGAGTGTTAAAAAATCCTCGAGGATATGTTTGACATGGAAAAAAG